CGCTCGCTTTCGTTCTGGAAATTTCGATGTGAAAGATACGAAAAGACTTTTTCGACTACCCTATATATAACATCTGAGTCTGTATAGATCGAGAGAAAAGGACACTAGCTGCATAGGCATCAAACACATCTATCTTTCATTTTTTTGTCATGGTCAGGTGACCGACAACCGTTTGTCGACCAATATATACACATTACTTTGCAAACGCATCGCTTCGAAGAATTTTTACCCAAGTGGGACCCATTCGCTTTTTGGTACTCCCACACAAAATCTTTATTTGTTTGAATGATATTGCTTAAATGGACTAATGGGGATGATAATTGTCTTATCTGATTCTCAGCTATGCATGTATGTCAAAATGCTGCTTAATTTTTTTCCCAATACACTCATCCCTAGTACGATGCCCAACCCAGTGAACCCAAATCTGATCTTCCAACTTTTGCTCATTCACGATGCAGAAGAATTGCGAATCGCATATGAAAAGCCTCTGTGCAATTAGCCCGCATGCCTAACGTCTTTTGCAAGCATCAATGAGTTGCGCGGCAGGCACTTCAAGGTGCTTGAAAAGTTCCTCGATTATAAGAAATTGTCAAAGCTTTCGAGTTGATCAAATCCGGAAGAGGAGTCTGCCTGCTCGCCTAAGGCATATGCGGAGTTTAACTGTTGTTTCTTGAAGAGTATTTTTAAATGATCTAGCATTTCATGGGAATCCTATAAATACAGAGGATCATGTAAGGATTCCCTTATTATCAGAGATTTCTTCTCCTGTAAGCTGCTTTCATCTGTTCTGCTTATTGAAGCCTACAGGCCATTTTTTAAATTCATTATGATTACGCTATCTTCATGTAAGTATCATGTTATTAAGTTTACATAAAATTTCGGTGTGCACAGTTGATAAGGAAGGTATAATGTTTTAAGACAAAATTATGTTTACATTGCTTTTTAACTTTCTAGAATTCAGCGGCTATTAAAAATACCTGGGCTAAAATTATATTTTTATATGAATAGTCAGTGTAAAAGAGTAATATCCAACG